ACCAAATTAAGGATGCTGAGCTCCTCTTTAGGCCCTTCCACTGCAGATGTCAGAGCTCTGTGCATGGCTCTCATCTCATGGCAGGAGTAAAGACTCGGCTACATCAGCAGATCCCAGACCTTCCAACTGCAGTCTTGGCCACAGGCTCAGCTCCCAGGGAAAACTGAGAGCCCAAAAAGTCTCCTGAATTACAGCTCCTTGACTTACTGAATGGTTTGGGCTGGAAGGGGCCTTTAGAGGTCATCTAGTCCAACCCCCTTGCCATGAGCAGGGACTCCTCCCATCCCCAAAATATTTCCAGCAGAGCAAGAACAGCATTTGGTGTCACTAATCTGCAGAAACACCTGGATGCTGGCACAGCTAAATTGGCAGGCATGTCACAGATCAAAGACTAGAGTTTGATAAAGTTTAAATCATTTTAAGTGCTATTTTTGTTGGTCCTCAACATGACCCTGTGTATCTCCCAAGCCACCTTCCACCCCAACCTTTGCAGTTGTCTTCCTATTTATACCTTGGGTTCTGCAGAAGTCAGAAGCAAATAAAAGCTGCAACCCTGCTTTTGCCAAGGCCTCCTTAGGGCTGAATCACCCAAAGGCACAGAAGGACCCAGCTCCAAGACCAGGCCTGGAATCACTGGTTGAAAGGAGCATGTTAAGTGATGTTCCCACCGCAGAGATGTGGAACGGAAATAGCCACCAAGCAGGACAAGCAGGGAGAGCTGCCCTGTCCATTTATTTCAACCCTGATCCCACAGAGGGCTGAACTCCTGGCTCTGTGCCCTCCCTGCTGAGCCAGCCCCACAATGCCTTTCAGCCAGGCCACAGCTTGTTCCCAGTGCTATTCCAGCTCTGGATAGCTGTCAAATGGGAACAGCAGCTTTCTGTTCCTCCTGCCCTTCTTCAGGCACACAAACTTCTGAAAGTTGAATTATACAGGTCACAGCTTGAGAACATTGTGGAGAAGGTGTCAGTAAGTCCAAGGACTGACCTGATGGTGGGCAGTGCTGGGACGATAAGCCAGGGACTGCCCATATGCATTGGCTGCTCTGGCTCTCACTGGGCTGACAGCTCTGCCATCTTACTAAGTGGCTCTAAGCATGTTCTCAGCCTCCTGTTACAAATTCACGTTCCATAAAGCCTCTCATTCATCCCTCTCTAGCTGCTGGAAATACAAAGCACAATTTGTTTCCACGCACTCCCATTGGAAGAGAGCAAAAAGACTTTCTCCTTTCTCCCTTTCCCAGCTTCCCATCGGTCATCCTTCTGAGAAGAAGAGGTTTAGCTTTTTCCCAAAGCAGCAGCACAGTATAACACAATTCTGGTTATTTTCACAGCTATTCACAGGGAACCTGGCAGCAGCAGGAACAGCCACGGCAACGGTCAGGTCACTCGGCTGTGACTTGGCACCAGGGCTTGCTGCAGGCTTAAGAAGATAACCACAACTCTTCACATTTGGGAGGTGAGTTCCTTGGCAGCAAAGAACTAAGAAACGTGTTTCCTCTCCGAGAAAACAAACTGCGAAACCAGAGTGTGTTCTCCCTGTTGCCTGAGGCAAGCAAACAAATGGGTTAGTCAGCCCTAACTCTGAAGCGGACAGAAATGTTATGTACAGAGGTATTAAAACATGACAGAGTTCTCTTCACATCCTCCTTAAATCACAGTTGAAATCACAGTTTTGGCAGGAAAAGCTGCAGCTAGACGTGGGAATGCAAAGCTGCGCCTCAACCCATCACAGAAGCATTCGCACTTGAAGAGTTGGCGTCTGATTCTCCACAGCTTCAGTGCAACTGTGAAGAGCCGTGCCAGTGGAGAGGCAACGGAACACGGCAGCATTCTGCTGGGAAAGCACCTCTTGAGTAGCTACACCACTGCCAGGAAATTCACATGAGGTTTTTCCATACCATACATGACCTCCAACCCCTTTTTCCTCAAACCTTGCCCTTATCTGCACCGAGAAGGTCAAGCACTGAAAGAAATGTTCAATAACAATTCCTTCGGAACTGGTTCCGCCGTCCAGTGTGGACGGGCCTGAACTGCTTTCAGCAATGTTCAAGACGTATTAGAGACACCATGACTCCCACACATACATACGCATCCATTAAATGTACAGAAATAATATTAAAATGATTCCCACTACCATACCTTATACTGACTCTAGCTACAAGCTATAAACTTCACCTCAGCGAGGCCTGGGCAAGAATTGGCTCTTTTGCATGCAATCAGAAATGATCATTTATACAGTGGCAACCTCTGCACCAAAAAAAAACAACACAACAAACAAAAACCAAACCAAACCAAAACCAAAAGCAAACATAAAGGAGGAAAAAAAATAAAAACCTTTCACAAGCTTTGTTTTTCAGCCTAGTAGGATATGAAGGACCAATTTCATGGTTTTCACCAGGCCAATTAAAATAGTGAATCAGCAAACAGGGCACACCGTTGGCACCCTGGGCTGTCCGGATGCTCCTCCGTTCACAGTATCAATACAGTAAAACACAAACCTGCTCAAGAAACTCACAGCTATGCCATGGGAATAAAGGCAGTCACCATTTTATGTCAGCCCTTCTTCACTACGGTTGCCATCTGTCTCAGAAAAATGTTGCTTGTGTAGCAGTTACTGCACCTTCACCCTTCTCTTCACAGCAAGCTTAGCAGGGAAACTTTCCCACTATATTTATATATAATATATGTATATAAATAATTTTATGTTTTTATAGTTTGGTAGTATTCTTTTAAAATTTCTATTTTAAAACACTTAAAAATCTTTTAAGCAACTAAAAGTAACTTTTGATGCTCTCTAGTGTGAACAGGATAGGATTTCAAAGTCTTTAACTCTTTTTTTTTTTTCATTTTTGGTAACTTCAAAAGCTATGACTAAAGCAGCACATCTCCACTCCTTCCAACACCTCGATTGCAACGAAACCTACCTTGGCCACCCTCTCACCTCATCTTCTGCCACTGCAACCTCACTGTTTGGGTACCATCCTGCTTGACCTTCACCAGGAAACCTGACGGGGCTGGTCCCTCGGGTGGCCAAATCACTCCCTGTGTGACGATGCACTTGACAGGAGAGGAGGAAGAGACAGAAGGAAAATGGAGGTGAAATATCAGCTTTCCTGTTTGAAACGGTCAATGAAATGGTGCTTTGCAGGTGCCTGGCTCAGGACACCTGCAAAGGTTCCTCTCTTAGGAGCACTTCCCTGTTACATATGATCCTGGCACCAAGCCCTTTCCACACACAAAAACACTTTAGAGCCACGTCTCTTTTTGAGAGAGAGATGGGAGGAACAGTGAGACCCCTCACTTATAAAAATGATCTGTAAAGTGAGGCAAGAATACATCACCCTTCCCCAAATTCTTCCCTCTAAAGGGGCATGAAAATGATCCTGAGTCCCAATTTGAAAGTGGGGAAAGCAAAGGCTGGAGATGTTTCCATGTGTCCAAAATTGTGCAGTCTGACTGCAGGTTAAGCTTTGCTGTCACGTGGTCAGTCTCCTGCCCACCAAGCCCCTGTTCCAACCACTCACCCAATTTTCTAGCTGAAGCAAGATGAAGTGTATTTCTTTTCCAATGTCTCTTTGTTCCTTCCATCGCCTTAAGGAATAGAACTTCACCTTTCCTTTATCTTACATCCTCAAGAGAACTCCTTCACCAGACCCGATCCGCGCAACCTGTCGTTCATTTCCCCCCTCCATCATGAACAACTTGGCATCAGAACCAGAGAAAACTCTTAAAATATTGCATATTTTCTTTAAAAGACTTCTTCAAAAGATGTCAGAATATTTGCACTTATCTACCTGTCCCATGCTGTTCCGGTTATGAACCACGTAAGCCCGTGCAAACACCTACAATACACACGCAGGCACATCTCTCCAGGTTTGCTAAACTTGCTCTAAACATCAGAGCTGCTCAGAATACAAAAATCTTGAAGTCCATGCAAGGGGACAGAGTTGTGATTGCTCTAGGAACCATTCACTTTTAAGTCTCCTGAACTTTTACAAGGAAATAAGGTAGAGTTTTCTTTTCTTTTTGCATTTCATTGATTAAAAAAGTTATCAAAGTAGTTTGTAGAAACAGGTTTAAAAGCAACCACCCACGATTGCTTGGCTGGGACAACAGCATTGCAGTATTTCTGTATCACATATTGCTGTTATAAAAGATAAGTGCGTGTCGAGGGGGGAGCAGGGGTGAAGGAGGACTTTGGTAGCCAGCCTCTAACTCTGGAATTCAGCCACTCCAGAATATCTGTGCCTAACCCTCAGAAACCCCTGGAGTACGGCAGCGCTCCGGCTGGGACATCGGAGAGCTCTGAGCTCTCCGGTTGCACCAGCAGACAACCTCCTCTGGAAGACCCCTCCAGCCCTTCTCCCAAGGCATCAGCATCTCACACGAACTTCACAGCTGCTAAATCCCACTCTCAGTAGCCCAAGTGCTTCCTTCACATCTTGCTGACCTCTGGAATACTGCCTTGGAGCCGTGCCTGCTTTAACAAAGGGCGCTGAGGCCGTGTGCCTGGAACGGGCAAGGCCAAAAGCCCTGAAGTAACAGCTTAAACAAAAATGTAAAGAAACGCACAAAAAATAAGACAGGGATAAATACACTCGGGCAAGGCAGGCTCCACCAGGACAGTCTTTTTGTTTTCTACCTGGGCAAGGGAGAAAGGCAATGGGTCCTTGCCCCTGCTCTCCCCTCGAGCGGGACCAGCGGATATGGTTCTGTGGGGCCGCAGGGCTGCCACCGGCACCGCCGGCGGGGCCTGGCTGCTGGGCCACAGGGTTGTCCAGAAATACAAATGACTGCTTGTCCCAGGTCACTACGGAACAGTAAAAAAATTTAAAATCCTGTCGATCCCTGAATAAGAAGTTGATTGACACAGTTGTTCTGTTTTTCTCCAAGAGGAGGAGGAATGAGGGAGAAAAACGTTTAACACTCTACGTGTGTGTGTGGGTGTGTGTGTGAGAGAGAGAGAGAGAGAGAGAGACAGAGAGAGAGAGAGAGAGAGAGACAGAGAGAGAGACAGAGAGAGTGAGAGACAGAGAGAGAGAGAAGAGATTTTTCTATTTTGGCAACATCTTGGGAGCTTCTTTCTGTCCAGTGGTGGCATTGCACTAATTACAGTACCAGCCTGCCAGGTTGGTGCTGACTCTGGAGAGCCAAGAAAGGGAAGACGGTCCTTTCTCCCCGGACTCCGCAGTCGTGTTTCAATCCGGCCCAGTGGTGGACACAGATCCCTGTGCTGTCTCCCCCACAGCCACAGCCTCCTCCTGCGGAGGGGACTCCTCCTCCGCCTGCCCCCGGGACGTGACTGTGGTCTCGGGGGAGATGCTGTGGGGCCCCTCCAGAGGCAAACAGCCAGGGTGGTTCTTGCGAAAGTGCTGGTTGAGGATGGCCTGGAAAGGGAAGCTTTTGCCGCAGACGTGGCAGTGGAAGGGCTTGTTGCCCGTGTGCTTGCGGATGTGATATTCCAGCTGATCCTTGCGGGTGTACTTCTTCCCACACATGCGGCACACAAAGGGGGTGATGCCCATGTGGAGCCGCATGTGCCGGTCCAGGCTGCCCTTCTGGTTGAAGGATTTGGCGCAGTAAATACACGTGAGCCGCGGGTTGTACCGGAACCAGCGCTCGGAAACCTCCTGCTCCCGCAGATACTCCACGTAACCACTCACTCCAAGCATGGCTGATTCCTCCCCCTGCCAAGGAAACAGCAGAGATTTAAATAACAAGCAGCCTAAAACAAACTGCAGAGAAGAAGATCACACCCCAGTCCAGCCAGTAAAGCTCGTGCCAAACCTCAAAATCAGCAGCACTAATGTCTGCAACCTCAAGCACATATTTAAGTGCTTAACTGGGGCCTTGGGGCTGAAGACAAATGAGCAATCAATTAGAAACCACGGCTACAGAGGCCCCCTCTGCCAAGTCATTCCCTGGATCTGGGGAACAAAAGATAGTCCTTGTCACGAGCATGCTTGGCCACCAATGGAGTTGTGGGCCACGTGTGTCAATAATTGTTACTTTTTGTAAAAATCTGGGCCAGTTTTATTAAAATACTGTATGCCACCTTCTGTTTTACTTACTGAAGGTTAAAAACTGGAAGCCAATTGATGAGTTTGCTTTATAAAACAAAGGTGGAACAAACGACAAATGGTACTTCGAACCCTTGAGGTGTCACTTCACACCTCACTGAGGTATCTATTCAGGTGTCACTCAGGGCTCATTTTATTATAAGGAGTTGCTTCTGCCTGCCTGGCTGTGTGACCCAGCCCAACCCCTAGCCCGGCTCACACAGCAAGGACTCGCTGGTTGCTCTGTGTTCTCCAAAGCCACACAGACAAACAGCCAAAGGCAACCCTGAACCACGACAGACACTTCTGGCCATTGTCTTCCGATGGAGCACAAACAGACTCCGGAATGCTCTGTGCTGGGGAATTGCTCTCCCAACACTGCTTCCTAGCAGTGCCAAGCACAGAGAACGTTTAACAGCAGGAGGGTCCCTCCTCTGGCGGCCAGGGCTGTGTGAGCAGCACTGTACAGGTGCCAGGTGCTGCTGAATGCGGCCATGCAGGCACAGGGAAGCTGCTCAGGACTCAAGGACATGCACAGAGCTCTGGTACTTCCTTTCCACTCTGCCGCTGCCACAGGAGAGGGATCACAGGCAGGCTCTTTTAGTATGGATATCGCAATGCCAGGAGAGTGGAGGGTGATGAGACCTCCCCGTGTGTGTAAAGCCTCAGGTTTTATATTTGAGGCCATCTCACAATGCAGAAATAAGAGCAGCTTTTCCGTAGGAAGAGCTAGAATTGCTTTGTATGTCACATTGCCCCTGGAGGGTGAGTTTGACCTGAAATTTTCTCAATGTCTTCTAAGGACACAAAACAAAGCTTTGGAGAAACAGGAACAAAAAGGTATCTGTTGTTTTATGGAAGTGTATTACAAAGGCGGCAGACAGCAATCATGATTTTTTTCCCCGTTGCTTCACTTGGTCTTACTGAAGAGCAAAGCAGCCTGGTAACTCCTCAACCTGCCTCCAGCCAAGCCATTTGCTTACACACTGACACATTCCCTATTTGTCAGGCTCACAGAGTCCTTCTGCACTGCGTTGGCTGACACATTTGCACTACAGTGTCACTGTGACACTCACTGTATGCAACAAAACTAGACCAAAATCATTAGGCACAGGTATTACCACTGTCCCACCTTGCTGCACTCCCCACTGCCCTCCTGTTTCTGCATTTCTCTCCCTCCTACCCCAAAACTGTGCCCAAGAAAGCAGAAAATTCAGAGCTCCTTTATACGTTGCAAATTCTGCTGTGCAACACAGTGCCTTGGGAATTAGACAGAAACCTCTGCACAAATCCACAGCCCTTTGACTCTCCACCCCAAAGGTAGGTGTAGTGCCTGGAGGGCTTTTTGGAAAGGTTCAGCTGCTGTCACCCCTCAGTCTTCCACAGAAGCCAAGCCACACCTCCTCCCTCAGCTCAGGCATTTGCTGCCAGTGTTTCAGGGCAGATCCAGCTCTGCAGGCAAATGGGATTTCTCCTCAGGAGTTGGTGGCCTGCCCAGAATGAAGGTGGATATTTATGCCCTCAGACAACAAGAGAAACTCCTGGTGTTTTCCAGGTACCTGGCCAGAATCCCAAGCGACCACAATCAGTTTTAAATCGTACACAGCCAGCAGACGTTCTCAGTGTGAGCAACTAAACCCTTCGCAATAGCAAAAGGTCCTTGTTTCACACATGGTACTGCTTGCAAATATAAAATATGACACACTTCATCACAACACAGCCCCCTTCACCTCCGAGCCAACATTTACTTGCAAACTTCTTGATCTGCCTACCTGGGAACTGGGCTGCTTGGGCTCATCCATCCGCCCGGGAGACTCGCTTTTTGATCTGTACCGCTCAGTCACAGCAACCATGCTGCCAGAAGGGCTAAATCTGTGGGGTGGGGGAAGAGTGTAAATGGAGTTTTTAATGGGCATCAGGTCACTACGGTGTTTAGAACAACAGGTGAGCAGTGGAGGCACCTGTACAGCATCTCTTCAATCTCACCAGCTAACACACAGGAGGCGGAACAGCGCAAGTATAAAGGAAAAACCAAGTCATACTGGCATGTGGGTTCAGTCTTAACATCTGAAAATAAAACTGAGTCATTTGGCTTCCAGTTCAGTGACAGAGAGCTTTGGGGTTGCTATCAGGAGTAAACCAACACAGGCCCGGTGACTCCGGAACTGCACAGCAGGAGCAGAAACCATTTCTCTGAGGGCACTCTCATCCACCACCCACACCCTCCTGCTGCTCCCCAGTGTGAAACACAAGGGTGTGATGGACTCCAGGTGGGAAACAGGGGATACTGAGTGCAGTGCAAGAAGAGATGCTTGAGACTAACTGATCCCTGGAAAAGAGCTACGGAAGTAGAAAGCATTGCTCTCCCAAGGCCCAGCTCAAGATTGTTCCCACTGACTGATTTATTAGGCAACAAGTGGCAGAATATTCACTGCTTCCAGGTAGCCGTTCCTCTCTGGGACCAGAGGAACTGAGGTAGAAGAGGGGCAGATGTGAAGGGACACCTGCAAATATAACCCGCTCCAATCCAACAGACCTGCCCTTTATCAGATCCGCTCTCTGGGCCGTGCTTAGGGCAACAAAATAAATACTCGAGCCGAGGGGAAGCAGATGGATGGAGAATCCAAACGCAGCAGATTTCACCACTCATTTTCACATAAAGGCTTTCTGCTCTCTCATATAAATCAAACCAACAGTAGAGGCCGCTGGGCTCCCCACTTCAGCTGCTCCATAAGATGTAAACCCAGGGCCCACTGCTGCCTTGAAGCACCAGGGACAAAATTTGCTCTTGACTTACAGATGGTGCCCGGCTTGTTTCTTAGCCAGAACCATCCCCAGATTTTCAGGCCAGAAGGCATCAGTTCAATGACACTTTGGGTAACACATATTGTATTTGACCTTGTTAATCCCCATGCTGAGCTGGTATCTACTGAGGTTGCATAGAACACCTTCTTTAAACAAAAATCCCACCTCACCTGAAACACTGAGGTACAAATCCCAACCTATGCACAGAACTGGCCTGTAGCTGGAGATCCTGGTCTCATCACAACCCAGACAAAATACTGTAACCCAAACCAGACACACTTCTTTACACTCCTTCAGCACTTAAGATGGCTACAGGAAACAGAAGGAGGAAACGTTCCAGAGAGACCAACCCAGCCAAGTGAAAATATTGCACAGCCAAAGTCAGCAACTGAGTCAAAGGAAACCCACCTGTCGATCTCAGTGCTGGTTGGCCTGACCACTTTGGCCCCGGAGGAGCCCAGGGCATAGGCGTCCTGGCCCAGCGCTCCATGGCCCGTGGTGTCGATCACCATGGCCGTGACCTCCTCGGCGCTGCTCCCGTCCTCTCCCGAAGGCTGGTGCTCTGCCCCCAGCCACTCCTCCAGGTTCTCGGTTTTGATGCGCACTCCGCCCAGCACCCGCACGTCGTCGTCGCTCCGGGCCCCGCGCTCTCCCATCCCCGTCTCCACGTACCACTGTCCCGCCCTGTTAATCCGCAGGATGGGCTCCCTGCCTTCCACATCCGAGCTCTGCTCGATGATCTGGGGGCTGGTGGACTCCTCGGGCGGGCTGAGCTCCCGGATGTCCAGCACTGTGCTCACCTGGCCCAGGCGGCTCCCCTTCGGGGTGTTGTGGTGCGGGCTCAGGGAACGGTTCAGGGTCGGTGTCACCCGGTGAGACTCAGGCGGTCTCTCTTGATGCTTCGTCCTGGTCTGGCTCAACTCCGCCTCCACCTCTGCAACATTGATTTTGAAGTGAATCCCCTCAAGGATCTGCGTGCACTTGTCTATGATGTGCTGCATCTGCAGGAAGCTGGCGGCTGTTAGGTAGCTGATGATGTCGGCCAGCTGCAGGCAGATCCTTCCAGTGTAGCAGAAGGAGAGGAGCTGCTCGAAGACAGAAGGGTTCTTGATGACAGAGATGGACACGGTGCTCATCTCGTTGAGGGACATGTGGTCGCGGAAGTAGGGCGAGCTGGCCGCCAGCACCACCTTGTGTGCGCGGAACGCCTGGCCCTGCACGTTGACCACGATGTCGCACAGCCGGCCCTGCATGCGCAGCTGGTTCAGGTGGCTCAGGACAGAGTTACTGAAGTCAGGAATCTCCAGCTGAATGTTCCCGCTCTTCTCCATGGCTGTCCCGGTTGCAGGTGCACGACTGCGCTGGAAAAGGGGGAAGAGACACCATCATTAGCAGAGCCAGCCTGTCATTTGCATTTAGAACCTTTTTTACCTGCTTCCACATGGGATTTTTAGAGACCTCTCTCCCCACTGAATTGCCGCACACCTGGCAGGGCTCTGTGCTCTCTACGTGCTGTGCAAACCACCCTGCACCAGCGTTCTGCTAAACCAGCCCCTCAGAGACCCCCGGTCCCTACTGGCGCTTTGGTGCCCGAAACACTTCGCTCTGTCAGCCTCAATTAAAGCACATCTGCATTGTAAAAAGAACATAAAAAATGGTTCAGGTACTAAAAATAGGCAGCTGATTGCATAATGGATTAAAATACTCAGCACTCGTACCTTCTAAGCACTTTGAAAAGGGAAAGTATTATTGTTATGCCTCCTTCATACAACACGAATCAGGAAGAAGACACCGGGACCTAAATCCTCCTGAGACTTCTGAAAAGCTGGCTGGCATACATCTGACCTCGAGACATCTTAAAGGTGTCATTAATCCCAAGATATCCATCATATGTGACACTTCTGACACATGCCAGAAAATATATAACGGGAGGGTGAAAGAAAAAGGTGTGGCCCAGGAGAGTCAAAGGGCCTCACTCAGGACCACTGTTTGTAGGGTCGCAAGGCCACTGACTTTGGTCATCACCAAGTTCCCATCCTGGCCATATCCCAAGTCTGTAAGCCCTGGGCTCTTTCCCAAAGCACAGTAACAATGGGACTGTTCCACTCGGGCTGCAATCCCCAGCGGTGCCGTTCCGCCCGGACGGCGATCCAGGTCAATGGTTTACCGAGGCTCCGAAGGATAACGGCTCAGCCTTTGTTCCCCACCTTGGCTGGGATGTTCCTGGTTGTTCCCACCTGTACCACCCAGCAGCTCCTGGCAGGATCAGGGAGCACCTCCCGGCCCAGCTGGTGCAGTCAGGGGACACTTCACCGCTCAGCGGGTCCGTCAAGGCTTATCAGGAGCTTCCAAGGTGCTTCCAGCAGGGCCAGGGACGGGGGGACGCACCACCACATCATCAGACTGCATTTTGGCAAAGTTTGAAAAGGAGCCCTGACCATATATGGTAAAAATTTGGAATGATCCAAAATTAGATGTAAACTCACCCCCAAAAAAGAAGAAGGTAAATAAACTTGTTAAAGCCCACTCATGGCGTGAGCGGCTTCCAAGCTGGATGGCACCTGAAGTGAGGACTGAGCAGAGTGCTGCAGGTATAAAAACCACTTCAGGCAGGCTGAGAATACTGAGGCTGATAGTGCCTACTCCAAGGAATCCCAGAATTAAGGCTTCTTCTCACTTTCTCCTGTCACAGAATCATGGAATGCTTTGAGTGGGAAGGGACCTTAATGACCATCTCATCCCACCCCCTGCCATGGGTGGGACACCTTCCACTAGCACAGGTTGCTCCAAGCCCCATCCAACCTGGCCTTGGATACTTCCACAGCTTCTCTGGGCAACCTGTGCCAGAGCCTCACCAATTCTTCCCAATATCCCATCTAACCCTGCCCTCTGTCAGTGGGAAGCCATTCCCCCTTGTTCTGTCACTCAGGTCCTTGTAAACAGTCCCTCTCCATCTTTCCTGTAAGTTCCCTTCAGGCCCTGAAGGCCACAATCAGGTCACCTCAGAGCCTTCTCTCTTCCAGGCTGAACAATCCCAACTGTCCCAGCCTTTCTTCCCAGCAGAGCTGCTCCATCCTTCTGATCATCTTGGTGTCCCTCCTCTGGACTCACTCCAACAGGTTGATGTTCTTCCCTATCTTTAGGAGATAAAACCCCCTCAAACCCAAGGAGCTACAGTGCACAATTCCACAGTGCTGGGAGCAGCACTTCAAACACACAAAGCCAGGGGAAACAGGAACCCCAGTGTCTTACCTGGAGCGCTGTGAGTTACATGCAGGGGGGGAGGAAGTGAGGGTACTGCCTTCTTGTTCTCCTTTTTCCTTCTGATGTAGTGAGAAGGTTTGGAAGCTTGTTGCCCCCTTCCCCTTGAGAGGTTAAAAAAAGAAAGGAAAAATGAAGCACGGAGGAATTGTGTGCTCTCAAGCATGGCCACGGATGTCAGGCTTTGTCATTCCTGGTTTGCCACCTTCCCAAAACACCTGTTCCTAAAGCAATAAGCCCCGGAGCATTCCCTTAAGGTAGGGAAGCAAAGGCAAGGGTGAAACAAACCACAAGCACCCAGGGAGACGAGGTAGTGGCAGAGGCTGAGCTTGGGAGGTACAGGAAGGGAAGGGTAAAAACAGCAATCAGACCTCAACTGGCTGGGTACGGCCCTGCTCTGAGGGTAGCTGCTCCCAGGGGAGCCCAAAAAATTATCTGTGAGCTCCTGCTCCAAAAGTAGGGAAAATCCATCAGCCCTTTATGGCAGGAAGAAAAGACCCCTGGAGCTTTGCCCACCTCAGAATGGGGGAAACTGCATTTCATGAGGCACTTTGTGTTTTATACACTTTGGGGAACATCCTCAGAGGCTGCAGAGGATCTGTGGGTTTGGTTCAAACTCCCCTGTCAGGGTGATTTCTGTGCCCACAGGTAGGGGGTCTCTCATCAGCTTCTGCACTTCAGCAATAACATCCCAATTTCTGTCTTCCCTGGGAAGTCCATCACCTGCACACACCTTTCCCTCGGGGCTGAGCGTCAGCACAGGGCACACATTGGGACACTCAGCAGCTTTCAATGCAATCTAAAGTGTCACCAGCTCGGACTTGGCCTTTACTTATCTCAGCAAATGCCTTTCCCTGCGTGAGGCAGCTCCTGAAAACAGAAATTCTCACTTCATCAGGGAAAAGACAGGGGCAGATCCCCCACAGCAGGTGGTAATCACTGTGAATGGCCCTTGTCAGACACTGGGGGCTGCACAGAGGGACTGAAAACTCAGCTTTTGGGCTCAGATCTACCAGGACTGGGCAACTTCACAGAATTTGCTGCGTTGGAAGGGACCCACAAGGACTATCGAGTCCAACTCCTGGCCCTGCACAGACACCCCAACAATCCCCCCCCCCCCGTCCCTCAGAGCGTTGTCCAAACCCTCCTGGAGCTCTGGCAGCCTTAGGGCTGTGCCCACTGCCCTGGAGAGCCTGGTCAGTGCCAACCACCCTCTGGGGGAAGAACTTTTTCCCCAGATCCAACCTAAACCTCCCCTGACACAGCTCCAGCCATTCCCTCGGGTCCTGTCTCTCACCAGAAACAACTTAGAATCTCAGAATGGTTTGAGTTGGAAGGGACTTTAAAGCCCACCCAGTGCCATCCCCTGCCATGGGCAGGGACACCTTCCACTAGCCCAGGTTGCTCCAAGCCCCGTCCAACCTGGCCTTGGACACTTGCAGGGATGGGGCAGCCACAGCTTCTCTGGGCACCCTGTGCCAGGGCCTCCCCACCCTCACAGGGAGGAATTCCTTCCCAATATCCAAACCCAACGCGACTCGGCTCCTCCCAGATCCCAGCGGGACTTCTCTCGACTCCCCGTCCGGCCCGACCCCCGGCGGTGCCCCCCCCCCGGCGCTGCAGGGCTCTCGGTGCCGCTGTCCCCGGCGCTGCCCCTCAGCCCGCCATGGCCGTGACAGCGGCACCCGGACCCCCGAGCGGGGGCACAGCCCGGCCCGCCCTGCGCTCCCTCCCGCCGCGCTGAGGGGCGGCGGCCGCGCCCCGGCCCCGCCCGTCCCCCCGCACCCCCCAGGCCGTCCTGGGGCCGTCCCGGAGCTCTCCCCGGGGCCGTCTCCGCCCGCCCCTCCCCGGACCGGGCTCACCTGCCGGGGGTGGGAAGGGCCCGCAGCGCCGGCCCGGAACCGAAACGCGCCAGCGCGGGCCGCGCCCCGGAAGGAAACGCCGTGCGGACCGTGCGCCCGCGCACCGCCCCCGCCCGCGGAGTGCGCCCAGAGGGGGTGGGGCCGCGCAAAGTCACGTGATTGCCAACCCTATATAAAGGCCGCACAGGAAGCTCGCGGTCTTTTTGTTCCTGAAGTGCGGAGGGGTGGGAGTGTCTCGTGCGGCCCCCGCGGTGAGTGCGCGCTTGTTCTGCCCCCGGGTGGGCCGGCGGGGCGCTGCGGGGGCCCTCGGGGTGCGGTGGGGTCTCCGATGAGCACTGGAGCGGGAGGATGGGGGTGGATTGCGCCGCCGGGCCTAGGCCACTGGTACTGTGCCTCATGGCGGCCTCGGCGCTGTGCGAGCGGGGTCCCGTGGGGGCCCACACGGGTTTGGGGGTATCAGCTTGGAGGTGCGGGGTAATACACGAGGCGCTGAGTTGTGGGGTCTTACCCAGGAGCCCTTTTCCCGTGGGAAACGCGCCTGGCATGTGACAGTGTGGGATGGGCCCGCTGCAAATGTAAGCATTACGGGTCCTCGGGTTTTGTGGGTTGGTGCCTTTTTTCACTGTGCGCTGGGCTTTAAAGGTGGTTGCTTTGGCGGATAAATGTGCAAAATGCGATTGTAGCGTTGTGGAAGGATTAAGGATATCCTCCGCTACTGAAATGTGCACACGATACCTTAAAGGATTAAGGGTTGGCCTCGCGGCCCCAAGGCCACCAGAGCTCCAGGAGCGCTTGGACAAGGGTCTCAAGGACAGGGGGAGATAGTTGGGGTGTTAGTGCAGGGACAGGAGTTGGACTGATCCTGGTGGGCCCCTTCCAACTCAGCATATCCTGTGATTGTGGACGTTTAAAGAGCAGTGGCTCACTCGGACTCCCTTATGCCCGCACATGATGAGAACTGCGTTGGTAGGGACATCTGAGAGGGTGACTGATGAATGCCAACGGATCTGAGCTGGGCACGGGACACTTGTGGGCTGTCTGGGATGGCTGAGGCGCCACGTGGGCCTTTCTGAGCTGCCAAAGGTCACGGGGCTGATCCGGTGATCGAACAGCAGAATTTAAGCTGTAGAAAGTAAAGTACTTCAGTGGTTCTGTTCTGCGTAAAAATACAGGCAGCAGTTATTTCTTGTGTCCTTGTTTGATCAAAGAGCAGAAATTTAGATTGTGTCGAGGGGGACTTTAAGGCTCAGCGTGTTTCGTATTTTACTTTGCATCTCTCAAAGAGGTATCTGTAAAAATAACATTCTTTAAAAAAGAAAAGCTAATATGTGTTCTTGTTTTCGGTTTAAGATGCATCAGCTATACTGTTCCTTCTTGTGGCTTCAAAACAGGTAAGTTTTGCTTCTAAAATAGAGAGTTTAAATGAAAAAATGTGTGGATTCATGTACAGCAATTAGACTGGAGTACTCTTGCATCAGGGAGTTACAGGATCAGCACTGGTGGTGGTGTCTCCTCAAGCACTCCTTATTTGCTTACTGAGAAAAGTCACCCCTTTCTTTGTCCTGGAAAGGATTTGGGAGGCTCCTGTTGTTTCTAAACAGCTGGTCATCCTGTAACCAGACCACAAGAGTACCCCAGATCCCTTTTTTCCTGCATTACTGCTGCTTCACTATACACAGCAATAAATAACTTGGAACACATTGCATAAAAAGTGTAACTGAGGAGATTGCTGTTGACTGGACTACAGAGCCTGTGATGGTTTCAGTATAAAGAGTAGTGGACAGAAGTGATTTCTGAAAACTCTGTGCTGAGGCTTTTTTCTGTGCTTGGTGTGGCTGCCAGAGGGGCTCCCAGTTCTACAAACTCCTGAAGCTGTTCTTTCTCTTCCAGATCTGCCACCAAATGCACAGCCTTGATGCCACTTCACAAGGTAGTACATAATTAATGAAAACTCAGCATGAAATTATGCTTAGGGTTTGTCTGGGCAGTGTCTTTTGCTCTGATAACATACGTCAGTGGTCAGACAATTCCCTGAGCCAGGTTTTCCTTCTGGTGCCACAATGATGACATTTATTTGCTACTCTTGACCAAGAGAGTGATGAGCACTTTTACCACCATTACAGTTTTCTGAGGCACAGCAACTTAGAGTTCCCCTCAATGCTTTGAGTGCTGAATATCCTATTCACAAGCTTTTTTTTCCTCCAGGATTTGACTCCTGCACTCAGCAGACATGCAGAAGGAACATCACCTGGTGAGAAATGTGTGCTTTATGATGGGGTTTCTTCCATGGGGTTGTTAAAACACTGCAGCGGGAAGGATGGGATGTGCTTTAAAATTAGTTTCCACTAAGACCAGAAGCAATTTATACTTGCTAGTATTCAAATTTGTGAATGTTTCTTTGTTTTATTGGGACAACGTAGTTGTAAAAGCTGTGACAAGAGGTGATTGCTTAGTAGGATGATTCCAAAGCAGATACAGTGATGATGGCATAGTTCAGCAGAGCATCCTGTGATGAACACTTCTGTCTTTCGCTCCTATCTGATGTGTCTGCCTTTTGTGGTCTCATCTGGAGCTCTGGGCTTGGACACCAAGGCTGAAATAACCTCTTCTTTTTTTTTTTTTTTTTCCATTTTTTGCAGGCACTGGGAGATGAAGCTCTAACCTCTGCACGGTAAACATTGCATTGCCTAAGTCTGTCCAAACACATTTGTGTCCCTGCTGTGTGAGGGGCTGCTGTGATGACAGCATAGTTCAGCAGATGAGCCGTGATGATCACACTGTCACTGTCTTTCGCTCCTGTCTGATGCAGCCTCCTGTCCTTAGGCTGTTCCAGACAAATCATGTGGAAAGCTGAGAGGGAAACACTTCCTTTTGATCAGTAAATGTGTTCTGAAAATTGATCCCAGAAAATCAGTGAATGGGATAAACATTAAGTTTAGTGGGATGAATAGAAGGGTATAGAGTAAGCTGTGCTTGTAAATTAAACAAAAGTACAGCAGAATAAGGTTAATCAGGTGTTAGTGCCCCAACTTCTGAAAGGGTTTTGTTGCTTTACAGATTGCCCTGGGCACAGGAGACCTGTGCCTCTTGTGTGGGAAGCTATTTCATCTGTTACTGGTGTTGGTGAAGCCAAGGCCTTCCTAATTGCAGGTAATTAATAAACCATTTTTAGGGTTTATTGGACTTTTGTCTGCTGCATTTGAGCTTGGGTGTTTGCTTTTGGAGATGTCTGCAAATTCCTTGTGTTTTCTCTGGAAAGTTCAGCTTCCTGTGTTACACTATAAAGCAGGAAGTAATTGTGGTGGTAAAGATTTCTGGAAAGTGCCTGTTAAACCTGAGTGGTGAATGCCATAGTACTCTGAATTTAGTGCCCAAAATGCTTATCCTGGCTTAGCATGGCTGGGGTATTTACGCGGAGTTGATGTCACTGAACTCTGCACTTCAGAAGTTTGCTCCTTCCTGCAATTTCGGTTGTCTCTGGAGCTGAGGGATAAGCTTACTGGAGTGTTGGAGCTTGCTGGGAGCTGACTTTTCCTCTGGGAGGGGATGGAGGTGAGGCGGCCTCTACTGTAGATGATGTTGAATCAGGTCTCTGATCCCTATGAGGACAAAACTTGACCAAATGCTGATACAGTATTTTATTGGAACTATTCTTATGCTAAAACTTCCTGCTGGACCTTGTCTAATAGGAAATTTTTCTCTGCAGGCTTCCAAAATGTTTCTCCTTGCAAGGTGGGTATTTGATTAATTCTGCAAGTATCAATATTCCAAAATATGCCCAGAAGTGAAGTATTTGCCTTCTTTTTACCTGGGGGGAAGGGACCAGTGGCTGGTGTTGTCTGCTGCTTGCCATCTCAGCCAAAACAGGAGGATGTTTAAAGGGGGAACTGCCTGGATAAGGCCCAGCCTTGGCAGGCTGGTGTGAGCACAGTGAAGAGCTGAGTGCAGAGAGTGGCCTTGATGGCACTGCTGGTGGATTTGCAGCCTTGGCCTAGAGCAGGGACTGACAGAGCTGCCTGTGTGATGAGATGTGACTGCCCTGACTCCAGTTGTGGAGGTCTGCCATTAGCTCTATCTGACTGCAGGCACCTGACTGAGATTCCACCCTCCTCTGCTGCTTTCCGTGCTGTCCTGATAGTTTGCATTATTCCAGGTGCAGTGGAGCCGGGAAGTGGGGCAGTTGGGAGTACTGCCAGCAAAAGGTAAATCGCCAGCACGTGGATGTGAACTGCTCAGAACTGTGTGATACAGGGGATGGGGAAGTTTCTAGATCCTATAATTGCAGCTGCTGCACCAAGCAGAAGGTTTCTGGAGGATTTTATTACCTTTACCAGGTAAAAGCCCCACATATTGGCAGCAGCCTGCAGGGTTCACTCACCCAAGGTGCTGCATATCTCATACTTTAAAACTTTTAAGTGTTTTCTGTAACTGAGAAGAAGTAATAGGAACCATTTGGAATGTCCAATTGCTATGGACTCCTTGAGTTCCTCGTTAATGAGTGTGTGGTAACCTGGTAGCACAGAGCTTGTGCTCACCAAAGCCAGTAGTTAATTACTGGTTTTAAGTAAGTAGTGGGCTCTTGCAGGGAGTAGCATTAATCTTCAGGGCTTACTGTGGTGAATTGTTTTTCTTAAATGCTAGATCAGGGCTTTTGCACAATGTGAATGAAGATGTGGTTGGGGATAAGGTCTGAAATGCTGAGATCAGATCCTCTGAGACAGAAGTGGCACAACATCAAGCTGCTCTAAGCATGTACTGTTTGTGATGAATTCTAAGCAATGGGAATCTCTCTGAAAGAGTCTGAGGACAACTCTTGTGCTGAAACAGTACCCACATTCAAACTAAATCCTGAAGCACTGCCAAGGAGAGAGTGTTAGTAAAATTTCACTTCTTTACAAGGGTGAATCTCGTGGGGAGTTCCTGTGAGAAACAAGGTGGATGTGCCTGAGGTAAGTGTAGAGTACATGGGGGTTTGTAATTCCTGGAATACTGTCATTGTGCTGAATGCCTAGGTAGTGGTACCCTGTGCCTGAAGCAAGAATGCACTTCTGTGTAGTTCTGAATTTTCCATGAAAAGGAGGGGCTGTTTCTGAGCAGGTACCCAAGTGTAGTCAGTGGTAAACTTGGTGTAGAGTTCTGACTGAACAGAAGATGTGGTCTCAGTGACTCTAAAAATTTGGAGTTTATTGCAACGTTGCACTGTGGACTTGAAAGAAAAACAACCCTATATTCTGGTTGTCACTTCTCAGCAAGTTTTGCTGATCTTTATGCTGGCTCTACACAAATTTAGACTCAAGTTCTAGATATTTGCTGTATGATCTTGTTTCCCAACAGACTGGTTCTCATTTTTAAAGATAGGTTCTTGGGATGATTTCTATGAGACTTGTAATTTGGATATCTAAACTCATTAAATACAATTTTCTAATGGGGAGAGACAGCGTCACAAAGCAAGTAGTAGCTTTGTACTTACCCTGTTTCTTCCAATGTTTGTAATTCTGTATTTCCAATTCAGTTAGGATTTGTAAGCTTTGTGTCTCCTATATTTGGGTGTTGCAAGTTGAACTTGTGAGTTGCCAGCTGAAAGGCAGCCTTCCCCCAGGTAAAATTAGTTTGATGAATAGGAATTCATAGGTAAACAAACTTGCATATAGTGCTGCTGTCTGTTATTCTGAAAGTACCTCTCTCTTCTCAGGAAAGGACTGTGCTGTTTGCAGCCTCACTGGGTAAGTCCAACAGCTGAACTGTATTATATATTATTGGGAATGTAGCCACTGATGAGATTGATTCTGCCAGATGAATCAGTGTGATTTTACCCTTTCCGTTCCACTTTGTGCTGAGGTTACAGAGCTGATGTGGAGCCTGTACCACTTGTGCTACTGCATGTGCTAATTGTGTTTTCTTCTGGCTTTAGGTGAGGAAGCAACTCTGCAATTACTGTATGAAGAACTGAGAAGGTGAGTGTAACTGCAGTAATTAAGACATTTCTTTGCTGGAACAAGTGATGATAACCTTAGCTTGAACTCTCTCACTGAACAGAGATGAAATTCTAAGGGCTGAGACGTTCCCAGCAAGTGTCTTGTGGTGGTTTGGTGTCTTAAAGTGGTTCTTATGTCTGTCTTACTAGGTGGAGGATTGCAGTATAATGGGCTACACTTGCATGAAGAGCATTAAAAAGCCCAAGTGTTTTTTTACCCCACTGGTAATGTTTGCCTGATGCTGGTTGGAGCCAATAAAAATCTTCAAACTCTGCCTGTTGTTGTGACCTCCTTTCTGACTGGAACAGCTTGGTGTGAAACAGCTCTAGGCTACTGTATAAAAGCTTCAAATGCTTGATTTAGAGCAGGGACTAAATTAGGTGAAATGCTTGCAAGTGTCTTAACTGGGATGTCCAGTACTGCTGGTGCGCAGGCTGCAGCTGGCCTGGCCAATACCAACATTTAGACAAAGGCAAACAATTAAAGGGGTACTTAGTGTGTTGTAGGTGAGAGCTAAACTTACTACTACTTTATTTAATACTAAAATGCCCCCAGTTATCCTGGTATTATGTGTCCAGGTGTGCACAGAACAAGCACACTGCTTGGACTTGTTAACCCTTTTCCACTGGATTTGAGCAACACAGGATTTGGCCTCCACGAGGGAAAAAAATGAGGAGGTGGGGGATCTTGATACTACCAGTTAAAAACCCAAGTTATTAATTATGAGGCAGGAAGGCCTGCTAAGGTGTTTCTGCTTCCTGAAACTCATTAATGATAGATTTCTATAAAAAATTCATTTTTAAATTCCTCTGTCTCAGGGTTGATGTCAGTATTGGAAAAGTCAGCTCTATGGAGAACTGAATTCTCCGTGACACTTGAGCTGTTGCTGTAGCACTTCTAATGAGAAGTAAAACTAGACATCCAAACTTTAGGAAGGATTAGTTTCAGATTATTGGTGTTCCCTAGAACCTCTCAATTAAGAGTAAGCTTGTACTATCTCCCTCCTACTCTACCTGGTACAATCTACTTGAATTTAAATTACATTTTGTAGACAGAGCTTGAGATCGTTTTAGCCACAATAGTATTTCATCCTAGAGAAGATGAATTAGACATTCTGTGTCCTTGTGCAAATTAAATCTCTTCTGCACTAAAGCAAAAGCCATTAATAAGGTCTGTTTTCATCCAGAGCTAATTAGTAGCCTCTTAATATTTCCCCCACCATGTTACTTTTTAAAATACCACACTTCATTGTGCCTGTTGAAGAGCTTGAAGGGACTGTCATAGCCTGCAGTATAGAAGAAGTCTTCATGGAATGGTTGGCCTCTGTTTCTTAAGGTTCTGGCCAAGACTTCAGCTTCCTCAGCATATTTCTCTGGGGAGGCAAAGCCACCAAAGGACCTGGTAGAAGTGAAAAAGGGGGGGTTTTTTATTAAGAATTCAAACCCCTGGTTTTAATTTGCACAGCAGGAGATTTCAGGTTTGCAAAGCATACAGTGTTTAAATACTTGTGATGCAGTTACTGGTTAAACTAAGGAGAACAAGCTGCTTAAGAGCATATGGCTGTTTATGCTGGTTTTAAAAGCAGGGCTTGAAACAGCTAACCACCCAAGTTGATTTTGATTCTGAGAGTTGATTGACATGCGGCCCAGGTGTTGCTTTGGGTGTATTTCCTGTAATAAAGAACTGCCATGCAGTGTGGGAGTTTAGGGCTACACCTTAAGGGTGCTAGAAAAGTGGTTTGGATGTTTTGTAGCACAAACTTTAGATTCTGGAGGCTGCACCTGCATAAAACCCACTGTAATGTATTCAAGAGTAGGCTCAAAAAGTAACATTTTGAAACTTGGTCATTTCATTCTTAATAAGACACCTGAATGTAATATTTCCAAATGCTTGGGTTTGAGCAGTGAAAGCTCTGGACAGCAGGGTATATACCCAAGTAAAAATCCTCCAAGAAAGAGTAGCCCACAGTTCAGTGAGGGCAACCAGTGAGCTGGGTTGGTGTGCTGCCAACTGTGCTGGTTGTGCTCACCGGACAAAGATCGCCGCTGCCTTCCGCTCCTCCACGAACACGTCGGAGTCCATGGGCTGGGGGGTGGAGTCCTGGTGTTCAAAGGGCACAAAAAACGAGATCTTGAAGTCTGTGCAGCCAGATTTCACCAGGCAGGTCACTGGCACAGTCATGTCAATCTTCATTTCTAGAGGAGAGGAAATACAGTTGTCAAAGCTGCATTCTCCAGCGCCTCTGTTTTGTACTACTCATCTTCATCACCTTGCCTTTCAGACCCAGCAGATCCTACCTCTCTCATTCTTTCCCTGAATGTAGTGGAAGAGCTTCCAGAAGCCCTGGCGCATGGCTTCCTTCTGGCTTTCCCCCCTGATGACTGTGCTCACCCACTTGGCCGTCTCATACTGACGCAGTTCATACTCCTTAGCCTGCAAGGGAGCAAAAGTCACAGTAACCAGGAGATGGGTATTAAAGATGACCAAAATTAATAGCTACTGTTTCCAAATCAGTGTGAAAGCATTGTTGCACTTACCATCGTCTCTGTTGAGCTCCACCGAGGTGACTGCAGGTCCAGGGACAGGAATGTTTGCTTGAAGGATTTGATCATCTTGCCAGAGCTGAAAGGCAGACACAGTTCATTGGTGTCTCTTAAATCTGGTATTAATGAGCAGAAAAAGCACTAGGGCTTTCTGCCTGATGGTTCAGTTGTCCCTGAAATGGTGAGAGGCCTGAATTCCTGCTTATCCTCCCCACTGATTCAACAAAAAAGAGCTGAAATCATTTTAGTCCTCAGGAACAGAACCAAACCCAAGAAACTGCCTCTCGGCTGCTGTGTGAGTGTTCATCTCTTCACTTCACGCCTTCACTTCTCTGTGACAAAAAGGCATTTCCTAACAGCAAAACAGAAGGTGGAAATTCTGCAAGTGGGAGTTTTGTGGAAATCTGTAAGTAAAAAGGACTTGAGGATTTCAGTCTGTTTGCTCCAGGATGAAAAACACTGGTGTTGGTGGGTGCTCTGGTATTGACTTATTTGGCCTCTCATAATGACTTTGCCTAAACTTCACAGTTAACTTGGCCTTAACTTTATTTGGTGTCTCATAATAGCTGATGCCTTTCCTAAAAGCCTTTAGCCTCAGGGCCCTGTGGATAAATGAGATTTTCTGCATTTAGGAATGAATACTTTCTTTCCTTCACACAGGAGGAAAAAGCTGAAAATTTGAAGACACTGTCCCAAAACAAAGCAAGTGAAAATACTCAAAATCACCATTGAAATAATCACATCTGATTAAAAGCCTTGAGATTTTAGGAGCCTTCCTTTATGACTTTTGTCATTACCAGGCAGATTGTAGCATGTAACCTATATCCTGACAGTCTCAGCTTTCCTGTTATATCACTGTCCTTTGCACTTCATTTTGCAAAGACAGTATGTGGTTAATTCAGCAATTATCTTGCTTCCTAGGTCATAGGACATTGTTTTCTCAGATTATAGCTCAGTTACATGTTGGGTAACAGAACATCTTTTCTAAAGTCAACAACTATGCTACTTAACTACTGTTTCCATCTTCCTGTGACATGTGGAGTACTGTTGAATACTGTTAATCCCCCTTCCATACCCTGCTTTGGAGGAATTCTTTTGGGGAGCTGAGGTTGAAAAGCTTATTAAAAACCCTCAAAACAACAAAACACACAACCCAAAACCAAACTAAACAAACCTTAGAATCTTTAAAATTAGGTTGTGTAGTGCTGTTGAGCTTCTCCCAGCAGCTCCTTCACTTGTTCCCACAGAGCAAGGGGAGGTCCCAGAATCCCACAGCAGGACACTGATGCCAGCAGCTAAAGGCAGGTGCTGTCCCCTCCCTGTCCCAGCCTGAAGGTACCTCATCCTCAGCAGCCCTGACCACAGTGATGGTCACCAGGGGCTGCTGGGCAGTTGTACTCCAGTAGACTTTTTGTCAGTGGTGTTTACAAAGCATAACAAAGCAGGAATCCACTTAATTAGAAGCAAATGTCAGCAACTACGCTGAAAGTTCCTACAGTAATTTCTTTATTGTCATTTCTAGGGCAAAGATGCTGCTGCTTTGCTGTCACTTTGCTTTCTCTTCACTACAACACGATAGAAAACAAATTGATCCTCTTCATGTGTTCCCTGGGGATGTGAGGAAGCAGAGGAGTAAATGTTTCTTTGTTTTAGCACTGGTAGTAGCTACTGGACGAGCTGCCTTCTGTCTACATGCCCATTCCAACCCCTTCCCAACACACCTTTCCTGAACTGCTGGGTAGATCTCAGCTCTGGCTTTGATAACTTTTTGGCTAGTACTGTCAATGCATGTTAGAAATACTTTTTAATTAAATAAAACAATGCTTTGGGGTGGGAGAGACAAACTGAGAAGACTGCTACAGATGTTTACAGTTGAGTTCATTTTAGATCTACAGGAAAGCTGAGCTTTGAAGTGTCCATCTGTTCATACAAATATGACCGGGGGGTGTTCAGGTTTTCCTGCAACTCTTAACACGTGGGCCAGGGGAACAGTCAGTAGACTGCACCGCTGCCACAAGTAAGCACAGCCAGAACATGCCATTCCACAAGCCACTAGTGCTGTTGAGGAAGAGGGGAAAGCAAACATACTTACATTTTCAGCTGTCTTATCCTTCTGGCTGTTGCAGTCTGTGCTGCTGAGGCTGCACATCCTCGTAAGATGCTGCATGTCAGTGTTTATTTGAGTTTGGGCAAGCTCCTCCCATGCCTCAGCCCTACTGGAGGGGGCTGCTGTTACGAAAACCAGAAGGCTGGAGCCTTGTGCTGCCTTGGGTCTCATTGGAGAGCCCCCACACAGATGCCAGAAGCTCCACCTCCTGCCCACGAGGCAACACTGGGCCAGTGTGTGAGCCGACTCTGTAAACACTTCTGCACCGTTGTGTAACTTCCCCTGGTTTCCATGGCTGTGGGCCTGCTGGTGTCAGGGTCAGCAGCAGGTTTAGTGCTTTGGGAGAAAGAATTTTTGCATAAATAACATCCCCCTAGACTTGGATTACGGGAGAGTGGGGGCACAGAATGCCACCTTTTCCTTTTTCACCCCAGGGGTGAAGGGTAGGTAGGAATCTGGCTGCACACTCCGCTGAGACCATCCTCACGAGATTTTTGCTGGCATGGTATGAAAGGCAGCCAGTGTTCTCTGCTGGCTGGCTGCTCTGAGCGGTATTTGAGGCTAATCAGTCCCCTTAGCCCTTGGATATCTGCACAAAGGGGTTATACAAAGCTATTGTGAAATCCTGCCCTGTTTGTAATATGCACAGCAGGGCCAACACTTTTCATTTAATCAGCTGCAGCTCCAGACAGAGTTGGGTACCAGCACAATAGGGCAGATTAAACTCCACAGTTTGTGTTCTGAGGACACCCCCCAGTTTGTCATGGTTTGTGCAAATTCCTTGCAGCCACATTCAGATAAGCTCTTGGGGATGTGTGACATCAATAGTGGGGATGACTTTTAGCAGGAAACACACTTGGCTTGCAGGGAACTTCATTGGGATGCTGTGTGATACACTCTTGTTCTGAAAGGGGGAATAAAACCCAAACCATGCCAAACAGCAATTGTGAACTTATCTCTAAAGCCACAAAACTCTCCAGAGCCACAGAACAGGGTGGTGTACAGGGAGATTTACTGCTGGAGTGTATTCGAACATGCTGAGGCCTGAAATGCAGAACCAGTTCTCTGCATGCTTTGTACTTTATGGAGTAAAATGTTTCTCAGTTTCACCTGTGCTCTGCTTGGATCAAACAGAAGCAGCAGCAGGGCCTTTGGAGCAGCAGAATCTGCTACTCCTTGGTCTTTGCTCAGGAGCTACGGGCTTGTGTAAGGTGAGCTGACGCCTTCCTCTGTCACCCCAACACTCCTTCAAGCATGTCCTGGTAATTATTTTCATAGAACGTGGAATCCTGGAATGGTTTGGGTTGGAAGGGACCTTAAAAATCCTCTCTGCCATGGGCAGGGACACCTTCCACTTGACCAGGTTGCTCCAAGCCGCATCCAACCTGGCTTTGGACCCTTCCAGGGATGGAAGTGTTCTTGAACACTCTCAGAGCAGAGAAGACCATGTGAAAAACAGTACCCAGCCACAACAGTTTGGTAAATCACCACCAGTGTACCCCAGTGGTGAGCACTGAGAAGTACCTTGAAAGGGCGGCAATAACTCTGTAGATAAACACAAGCCCACAGTGGATTCTCGTTTCTGAGGCAGAGAGGCCCAGAACAAACCCCCAGTCAGTCTGTGTGTGTCCAGCTGATGTCCCTGACAAAGAGCTGACTGTTCCTGGTGGAGCAGCCCCGGGCTAGAGAACAATCCGCAGTGTTTTCCCGAGGCGTTGTTTTCCAACAGGCTTTGTTTTTCACGTATACATTGAGAGAACATGTCAACAGCTGGATGAGACAGCAGGGCAGGCATGAGGACATGTATTCTGTACACAACTATATACATTCCAAAACTAATTAGTGGAAGGAGTGGGATTATGGTGAAAGCTGACACAGTCTCACTGGTACCTCCAAACAGGGGAAAATTTGAGTATGCAGCAGTCATTAAGTCTCAAGGGCTCTGTGACAACTCTGTGTAATGCCATGAATATCTGTCTGGGACTTGGCTGGTATTTTCTAGAACAGCTGAGAAAGCAATGCTTTTCTGTACTGCTACCTTAAGGAGTAGGGATGAGGGCACAAGCACAGAAAAGCACAGGGTTTGCACCTTAATTTTACTGTTTTCATCAGGCACTTCTGTGCAGGAACTGGTAATGAACTGGTACTTCAGAAGCAGCTTTGACGGGAAAAGGAGAAGGGCGAGCCTGTGATATGATCGCTTGTGTTTTCCACTTTTCTTCTCAGTAACAAGCCCAGACAAGACCTTAAGCAACATTCTCCAGAGCAAAACTGCTTCCATCTGCTCTGTGGCAGCATTACAATCCTGCTGTCACATCTGTGCAGTTGTGTGGCAAGTTACCTTTATCCTTAGAGGCAAGCACAGACTGCTTGCACAAAAAACGGGAATCTTTTCCACTGACCTAATTGTGTCAGGATTGGAGAAACCCAGGGGACAAAAATGTTTTGTTACAGTGTGGTTAATGATAACTTTGAGTCTTGTTCTTGTAGCTGCCAGGTCTGTGGTGGGATATGAAGAGCTGGGGTGTGAGGGACAGAGAGGAAGCACTGTCCCATGTCTGGCCACTCACGTGTTCTAACGAGTGGTCTCATCCCAAAGCTCCAGGCAGTTTTGCATTGCTGCCTAAGCCTGTCAGGAAATAGTTGTCAGTGATTTTCATTTAAAAGAACTGAGACTCTTCACATATAAATGGCCTTTGCTTTTGCGAACTCATGCTCATCAGATGATGCAGAAGCCTTCACTTCCCAACAAAGAAGTTGAGCATGTGATGTTACTGTAGTTACTGTCCAGGGCAGCAAAAATGTCCTTATATGTTGTTAGATGAACTGTGGTTTGCTGCAAATTCGTCTCCCAAAAGAAGTCTCTTATGTCCTTGCTCTAAAGAGAGAGAAAGCCTCCATTTTACATCTTATTTTCACTTCCAGTATGGAAAATGAAGAAGCATAAGTGTACCATCTTCTAAGGAAGCAGTTGAATGTGCTACAGTACTGTTCCAATTATCCCTTGCAAAATGTGGAAAGGAAATCTCTGCCATAATTCCAGTGAGGGAGTATTTACACCTTATGCTCTGACCTACACGTTTTATATCAGCACACCGATTTGTTACGGTTGGATTTGCTCTCAGCCAAAACCCATTTGCTTTTTGGAAACCTGCATGTGGATTTTCTCCATGTCTTTCCCCGATTCCAGCTAGTTTGTTACAAATGACACATGAAACTACTGCCTCTCCCTGCTACCTTGAACAGCTGACTCACTGACAGTGTTACCTAACTCTTGCTGAGTGAGTGATTTCTTGCTCACTTCATCAGGGATGGCCTGGAACTGGCTGCTGTTGACCAAATGAAAACCTTCCTACACCCAACACCACTCCAGAGCACTCTTGACTTGGTATTTTCCAAGATTCCTCTGCTGGAGATCACATTTTGGAATCATTCTAGGTTTGGGGAGTTAATCTTAAATAAATCCTTCCTTCCAGCTGCCATGCAAAACATTCCAAAACCTTCCTGTCTCCTGTGCATGGAGCCCAGAGAGAAGCTTCCTCAGCTTTATATACTGCCTTATTCACTGGCTTCTTTCCAAAATAAGGGATATTTTTAATAGGGATCTGTTTAGGGATCTAGCAGCTGAACCCTACATGCAATTAGCTCAGTAAACTTTAGCCAGCATTAATACTTATCTAAATACACAGAAACTTCCAGTCCTCTCTGAGTGCTGGAAGGAGAGGAATTCACCTTTTAGAAATTCATCTACATTCTGCTATTGGCAGGTTCTTAGAAACAAGACCGTGAAACCAAGTGAATTTGTATATTCAAGACAGGAACATCTCATCCAGGGAAAGAGGTAACGGTGCTTGCTGGGAAAAAGCCTTGACACAAATCTATTGCACTGCTATTTGGGCTTTTTTTAACTGGCGTTTAACAGTGACTTAAGCCTGAGGTGAAGAGAACACACCTTCTTTGCAAACACAAAGGAGTCCAGCCCTATGGAGTCCCAAGGACCTGAGAACATGTCCAGAGGTGATGGGACCAGGCCTGGAGAGTCAGAATTCATATCTCAAAGAAAATACTCTCCTAAAATAATATTTTCCACTTCTCTCAAAAAGACATGAAAAGGTAACTGAAGCTGAGGGTTTGTCTCCTGAGCTGCTTCCTGAGCTTAGTTGCTTGAATATGGATCATGTCAGAACTTCTCCCATCTTCTGACAGTGGGACCAGAACCTAGTCTCTCATCCTCTCCTTTCCCAGGGTGAGCCAGTGCTGGTTCTGCAGCAGGTGGCACTGTTGGTTGTGTCCAGAGGTGAGTTTTACTTTAATATTAACGTCCCTCAAGCTCTCTTGGTTGTCAGTGGTCGCTTCAGCTCAGTAATGGATCCTGATAGTTTGTTCTGTTTCCAAAGCCATAAACTTGATTAAACTGTTGACTGTTAATGGCAAGGTTAAACATTTAAGCATCTTAACGTGTAAAAAATTATCTTTGTGTGTTAAACATCTTTTATGCAGTAAACACACCAGCCTGAAAGAGAGAATCACAGAATGGTTTGGGTTGGAAGGGACAAAGAGCTTCTAGTTCCAACCCCCTGCCATGGGCAGGGAATGTCTCTGTAAGACACTTAAGAAAATGCAAAGTTAGGGGGAAAAAAACACTTAAACTGGCAAGTTTCCAGTCAGAACCAATAGCCAACCTAACAGTTTAAAACTCAAATTAAACGTCTGAGAGGCTGGTATTTCTTTTGATTTTTGCACCTTTTTATTTAGAGCAGAGAAAATGAAGTTGATGTATAATGACATCACACCATCTTCCCAGATGATGTGCTTCTGAATACCAGCCAGCCAAGGTGGTATTTAACAGAATTTCATCACTTTCACAGGTATTGTCTTTCTCAATTTTCATTTAGGCTTGGATACTTCTTATTTGTTCTGAAAACAGACTTGAGTCTGTCTTTGGAAGAAAATTACATCTGGATACATTTATTTATTGCAGAGAGAAAGAAGCAAAACTATAGTTTGATTATGCTGAACCGGAAGTGCACTCATGGTAGCTTCAGAAATGACAACAGGTGTCAAAACTCTGTATAGGTAGAGACTAGTGTGATTTGGAGAAAGTGGAAGTGAAGTTGTATTCAGTGTAGAAATTATTGGAAATGTTAATACAGCAGCAACACAAAGTGTGAAGAA